TTTTTTTTTTCTTCTTTTTTTCTTTTTTTTTCTTTTTTTTTTCTTTTTTTTCTTGCCACCTCGCCACTTTTGTTAGTGGGAAAAGTGCACAGATGGACCGATTGCAGATCCCCGTTCATTCTCACATCATTATGTTTATTTCAGGGCAAGCAGGACGCTGTTCATCACAGTCGTTCGACGCCGTTGCCACAAAGATGGGGGGGGGGGGGAAGCCACCCCTTCGTAGGGGATCGAGGCCTACGTAGTGAAGGGTGATGGAAGAGCAAGGTGGGTTTCAACGCCTGAATCGGGATAGCCTTTCTGTTGAGATGCATGCACCAAAGCAAATCAAAATTGATTGTCCACACCTTTCCACAAACACGTCCAGATTCAGGCGTTACATCCGAACTCTCTGTGGTGAGACCGTACCTTGAGCGTCTAAGTTGCGCAGTCATATGCCAGGTAGATCTGAGGTCTACCCTTCTTTTTCTTTTTTTCTTTCTCCGTTTCTATCATCTCAAAACAAAACACGCAAAAAAAAAAAAAAAAGCTTTTAGCGGGGCCCACCAGGCAAAGCCTCAATTCCGGTGGTTCTCTTACCACCACTGGGATAGAGGCCTTGCATAAGGCCCTTCATTTAAAAAAAAAAAAAGAAAAAAAAAAAGAAGAAGAAGAAGGAGAAGAAGAGACCTTCCCGCCACGTGGCCCTCCCTGTCCTCCCAAACAGATCCGTAGCCGTAGATACGAACTCCTCCCATCTAAACCACGTGGCAAGACTCTCTTTACGAGACCGATCGTTGCGCCACGTGGCCTATTCTTGTGAAAAGAGATGACTGTTCTATCCCTTAAAGACAGGAGGGTGGGGGGTTGGGGGGGGGGGGGGGGGAACGGGAAGCCATTTGTTTCACGAAAGGGTGGTCACCCTGAGGGAAATATCGCCACAGCCATATAGAGGAGGAGCAAGATTAAACGGCACCAGGTGGCTGGTGTTTACAAAAACAAAAAACAAAGAAAAAACAAAGAAAAAACAAAGAAAAAAAGAGCCATCCCGATTACATACCCGATTTTGCCCCAAAACAGAGCGCCGCTTGAAGAGAACGCACTGCCATCATGGCTGTAATTTTCACGGGCAACTTTCTGTCTAGATACGGAGGTAATGCATTTTTTTCTGTCTAGATACAAAGATAATGGACGTCCGTTCTATTCGGGGAAACACGGCAGCATGGCAGAAAGTTTTCCACAAAATAATGTGAGTGCATCCAGGGCTTCAAAACGGACACGTGTCTCTCCCTCAATAACTTCTCTCTTCGGCGACGACTTCTCCTCCTGTATTTCTTCTGCATCTCGTAGTTTTTTTCACGTCCATACCTTCCTCCTCCTCCTCCTCCTCTCCTCGTCTATCCTCTTTGTCGATACCTTCCTCCTCCTCCTCCTCCTCCTCTCCTCATCTATCCTCTTTGTCAATACCTTCCTCCTCCTCCTCCTCCTCTCTTCATCTATCCTCTTTGTCGATCCTTTACGACGAAGGATCAACAAAGAGGTTAGGAGAGGAGGAGGAGGAGGAGGAGGAGGAGGAGGAGGAGGAGGAAGGTATGGACGTGAAAAAACTACGAGATGCAGAAACAAGGAGAAGATGGAGGAGGAGGAGGAGGAGGAGGAGGAGGAGTTGGGGAAGAGAGGACAGTGAGGGGAAAGCGGAGGTAAAGATGGTGATGATGACGTGGCGGATTTTATTTTGCCACGTCACCCATATTTTTTTCCCCAAACCTCAGAAGTGCGTTACCCTGCGAGGGAAGGAGACTTTGGGCCTCGCTGCACTCACTACTCTCGCCATGCGCAAAAGACAAAAATCATGGGGTTGTATCTTTCCGTAATCTAGCGGAAGATTCACTCTCGTTTTGCACTTTTCGAGAGTAGTACAGCGAGGCCCTTTGAAGGAAGAGTGGCGAGCAGGAGGAGCTTGGAGACGGTGACGTGGCAAAGGAGGAGAACTGGAAGGAATGGTGGGGGCCAAGGAGTTCGAGATGGGGAAGCTTACCAGGGACGAGCAGCGCGATGAAACTGTCAATCAAACACAGCGACGTGAGGCAGCGGTGAAGATTTTTTGAACCAAGGAGACTTTTTGAATTAGGTGTACTGGCGCTCCTACGGGGCCTGCGCTTAAAGAATTAGCCTTTTTTAATTATTAAAAAAAAAATGTTGCCCACGCGGGCGGTATGGAGTATGGAGGGAAAACCGGGCAAAACACGGTGGAGGCCCAGGCCCCAACGACGACAAATTTGCACACGGGCCTGACCTGAGAGGGGCAAAACACAGAGACAAAGAGAATAAGGCAAGGCACTTGTCAGCCCCAAACACAGAGAAGAAGGCCCAAAAGGGCATTCGGTCCGCTCTACCCACAGGTGCAGCTTGGCGGGAGCGGGGAACAACGTGGGAAAAACGTGGAACGACGTGGCAACATCGTGGAAATAGAGACCCCCCAGCTTGAAGGTCACGGGTTTTTTTTTTTTTCGCATTATTACCTGTCGAATCTGGACAGGCCTTTCAGGCCTTTGTTATTGTCATAATAGAGTGTTACGGGGAGCCCCGTGGCAGCCACATCCGTGCTCAAGCCTCCAACGAGGGAACATCCGCGGGAGCTCCAACCACCAGCAGGTGGGGGATACCGGCCAGGGGTCAGCCGGTAGCTTCAGGACCGAGCTTCTTCGATGGGCCAGTCACTGTGCCTCCCCTCCGGTCCCTTCCCCCTTTGAACATCACCAGTCTCTGCTGAATGAATGCCACTCGGGGGGACCAACGGCATATCTCTAGGTGGCGGGCGCCAAACTTGCCCCATGAGGTCTTT